AAGGACAACATCAGGAGAACCTTAGGGGAGAACCTAAGCAGAGAACATCAGAGAACATAAGGACAACATCAGGAGAACCTTAGGGGAGAACCTAAGCAGAGAACATCAGGAGAACTTTAGGGGAGAACCTTAGGGGAGAACTTTAGGATCTACTGGGATCCTGGTTGGACTGCAGGGAACTAAAGCAGTGATGATCTTTGCTTTTCTTCAGGGTCCAACATCCCCAAGGTGCTGGTTTTCACCACAGATGGAGACTTCCTCATGTCCTGGAACACGACCACCCTGGAGATGCCTCACGGCATGTTTTTAGCAGATGCGGCGTCCAAAGAGCCCACGGTGTGGATCACAGACGTGGGGGACGGTCCTTATGGCCACAGCATCAAGCAGTACTCGCCATCAGGGAAACTTCTGCAGGTAAATGCTTCACAGGCTTTCATCCTAAATGCGGTCGGCTGCAGATGGCGGCATGATGTTTTCTTGTTGGCGCAGGTGCTGGGGACTCCAGGTAAGGCGGGGTCTGGGGTGGACCCGCTGCAGTTTGACCAGCCAGCTGAGATTTACGTCCACCAGTCTGGGGAGATGTACATCGTGGACGGGGATGGAGGACTCAACAACCGCCTCATCAAGCTGTCTAAGGACGGGGAGGTGGTGTGGATGCATGCGGAGAAAGGAGCGGGCCTGGCGCAGTTCTACATCCCTCACAGCGTGGCGGTGGACGGCGCCCAGAGGGTGTGGGTGGCAGACAGGGGCAACAAGAGGATCCAGGTGTTTAATTCTGTCACAGGCGACTGGCTGGGCATGTGGGGCAGCTGCTTCACCGACGACGCTCCCTACTCCGTCCGTCTGACCGCAGACAAAAAGCACTTTGTGGTGGTTCAGCTCAACACCAATCAGATCAGCATGCTGGACGCGCCGCCGGTCGGGCTGATCGGGGAGTGCAGCGTGGCGAGCATCATCCAGCTGGCGGACGACGTGAAGCCCCACCTGGTGGACGTGGATCTGAAGACCGGTGATCTGTACGTGGCCCAGATTGGAGCTCAGCAGGCCCAGAAGTTCACTCCCATCAGCCGGTAGACGCCTGCTGGATTAACCTGGATTATTGGAGGGGGCGGGGCTCTCTGGCCGCCTCCTTCAGAACACTGCTGCTTGTTTCAAAGATTAAAATCTGACAGATGTAAACCCAGTTTAAGTAATCTGGTACAGGGCTGCCAAAGTTGGCCCTCGAGGGCCACCGTCCTTCAGGTTTTAGAGGTTTCTGCTTCAGATCAGCTGATTTCCACTTATGGCTGATTAAAATTAATTCATTTAACTTTATTGATCTCACATTGGATCAATTTACCTCTATATTTAACCCATCCCCTTGGGGAGCATTTTAAGAGTCTTAAGTCCCTGAAAATGAGAACATCATGGTTGCTGTAGCGCACAGATTGTTTACATCAGGCATCCCCAAACTCGGTCCTCAAGGCCCGCTGTCCTGCAGGTTTTAGAGGTTTCTCTGCTTCAGCACAGCTGGTTATAATGATTGCAGTAGACCAAAAGCCTGTTAATCAGCTTTCAATTAAAACCAGCTGTGCTGGAGCAAGGAAACCTCTAAAACCTGCAGGACAGGGGGCCATGAAGACCGGGGTTGGGGATGCCTGGTTTACATTGAGACCAGTCTAACTAGGGAGTACCAATATGGCGGCCGGTGGTTGCTCAGGGACCCCAAGTGGCAGTCTGTGGGGATCGAACCGTGTCCTGCAACCTTCTTAGAGCACAGAGCGCTGCTCCAACCGCTGGGCCACTGCTACCATTAACAGACTGTTGCTGAGCTGAACCAGGAAAACCTCTAAAACCTCCATCTCCTCCCGTTACGCCATCACCCTATCTGGGCCATCGCTCACGCTGGGCCGCCGCTCATGCTGGGCCGCCGCCCTAACTGGGCCGTCGCTCACGCTGGGCGGCTCATGGTGTCCTTTCTGCTCTGCTTGGATGAAGCGGAGAAGTTTCTCCTGGTGAAAACTGCAGCTGATCC